CTTGGTAGTCACTGAGATATATTTGCTCAAAGTTTAAAAAAAGTTAAAACTGCAGAGGATATGAATAATAAATTTGGAGGTATAAAAAATAATTTCCTAAATTTTTTATAGTTTTGTTTATTTTTCTACATATAATGTATTTAACTGGATCAATTTTCTGTTGTAATGCTTTTTAATATTTTTTATTATTTCTTTTTCTAAGTGTAAGTTCTAGATATTTGATTTCTACTGCTTTATAAAGTATCTATATTTATATCTTTACTTATTTTACTGTAATCAACTCTTTTTTAGAATCTTTTATTGTTTTTTGCTGCATATGATTATTCTGTTGTTGTGTTTATATATCTTTTTTGTTTTTTTTTTGTTTTTTTTTTTTACGGTTTATAGAACGACCTCATTGGTCGATGTTTTTCCTTTATTATTAAAGTATCTGCAGTCCATGTTTTTACGGAAGGGTTTACAGTAACATATCAATGAGGGTACAATAAGCCACATGTACAACTTTAGTCATTGTCTATTTAAGGGTTCTGCCTATAGGTTTCCTACTTATTACCATACCTAAGATCCACTTGTGAGTTTTCTATTTAAACTCTTTGATTTTTAATATTATTCTGCTCATGTGATTCTTAATTTGAGTACTTGGTCCAACCTTCAGGCTACTTTACCTGTGAGGTAAATTCTACCAAAGGAGGTAGTTCTCACAGCCACACCTTATACAGATTTTATTGTGTCAGAGGTAATTCTATATTAGATAAGGCTAATCCTTTCCACAAACATTAGTGACATTCTCCACATTTCTCACTATAGTAGTATCTGCACTCTGCTATATCAGTTTCTTTCTGAAAATTCCTTAAACCAAACATGTATCTTCACTTGGACTTCCATAGAGCTTCACATACGATTATAGGCTCCTTTTTAGATTACAGAGTATTCTACCTCCAGCCAAACTCAAACTGTCAACCTTGTCTGTGGGGGGACGGAAGCTTATCCATTAAGCTATAGGACCCGAGCCCTTATATATCTTTTTTGTTTTTATTTATCACATAGTTTTTAATATATTTTTTTTATTTATTTTCATTTTATGTTCTATATTTTGTATAATAAATACTGATTTGTATTATAAAATTAAGGCTAATTCTCTAAATAATTCATAAAAATAAAAATTATTAATAATTTTTAACATTTTTTTCTATATTTTTACTACTTATATGTTTTTATTTTAGTCTTTTAAAAGACTAAATATTATTTTTGGTTCTATTGTTTTTCTTAGAGTTGTATATCTTGTTTTTTAATAGCATTAATGTATTTTTGTTAATATTTTGTTTCTGTAATTTTGTATATAAAGAATCAGTGAAAAGAGTTTATATTTAGAATATAAATATATTTTTTTGGCTAATAATTATTATAGTACACAACTATAATTATATTAATAAATTAAATATATATATTTTTTTTATTTATATAATGTCATAGTAGAAACTTTATTACAGATAGAAAAATAATTCTAAACCTAAAGATTTCTAAATTATATTTGTATTACATAAAGCACCCAATGTGATATTACATCCCCTATTTCCTATAAAATGCTATAGTTAATTATTTTAAACTAATTTCTAGCTAGGATAGGTTGAAGAAAAACCTAAATAGTTAAGAACTTAAAAATCGAAATACACATATAAAGGTAAATAGTAATGAACTGATCATTTACAAAGTTACTATCTATGTGTTCAATAAACTAAGTCCTAGTTACTTAAATGAGAGAACACCAAAGTTCTTAACTTTAACTAGTATACTAATCATCTAGATATTATAAAAAATAAAAAAAAAACAGAAGAAAAATACTAACTTTTGAAAAAAAAAGACACTAAAAAAAAGAGAGATAAGAAACAATCAAAAAAATAACAAAAATTTTTTATAAATTATCAATTACGTAAACAAAATCACATATTTATTTTTAATTGGTTGAGTATTTTCAAAATTTTTTCACAACCAAAATATTTGAATTTTTTTATGACCAAAGTATTTGAATTTTTTATAATATGAGTATATTTTATTAATTTTGGATAAATATTTTGAAAGTGTGACAAACCAATCAGATATGATTAAAAAATTTATTTTAAATTTAAACAATTTATACTACATAAATATATTTATTATTCTAAATTTATTTTAACAATTTATATATTAATCGACAAATATATTTATTATTCTAAATTTACTTTGACAATTTATATATTGATCAACAAAATATATTGTTTATTTTAAATTTACTTTAACAATTTATATTAAACTAACAAGTATGTATTTTGATTGACAAAATATATTTATTCTAAATTTACTTTAACAATTTTAACAAAATATATTGTTTATTTTAAATTTACTTTAACAATTTATACTATACTAAAACACAATTTTATTTTAAATTTGTTATTAAGATATTGACAATATGTTGTTAATGAGATTGTGTTTAATTGTGGACAGCAGCTTGCAATTCATAAGCATCGAGACTCACAACATATCAAAATATCTTTCTATATTGATCTTAGTTAAATGGTTTGAGAGAATGCCATCTGACAAAGTTGCCCAGCTGGCAAACTACCCAATTGGCGATTGCTAATAAGAGTTAAAAATTTTATTAAAATAATAATTATCTTAAAATTTATTGTATAATAATTTTTTTTTCGAAACTTTAATAGTATGAATAGGTGTAATCATGCTATTCAAAAGCAAATGAGGCAATAGCTGAAATTTGCTTTTAGAATAGTATTCTGAAAGCAAATGAGGCATAGCCAAAATGCACTTGAGGATAGTATTACCACACCTATTCATTGACTCAATAATAGATGTACTTAATAGTTCCTGTTACAGAATAAATAATAACAAAACTTGGTAACAGTAAAATACATGTAAAGTAGCAACTGAAACAGCTGGTTGATATTCTTATATTCATAGTTGATTTAATCAACCAATCAACTAATCAATTAATTGACCAATCGACTAATCAATTAATTGATTAGTTGGCCAATTGATTAATCGATTAGTTGACTAATCGATTAGTTGACTAATTGATTAATTAACTAATCAATTAGTAAACTAATCGATTAATCGACTAAGTCTGTAAAATTCAAATCAATTAGTTGTCACAACTTTACAACTACTCGATTAATTCGATTTTCGATTTGTATCACTACTACCGGAGTAGTGGTCAAAATACCCACAGGGAAGTTAAAAATTATTGTTACATTGAGATCATATAATTTGAGTTTTTTCTTTCTAGATTGCGGCAGATTTAAATTTACATAGTTCAAACAAAAAAAATAAAAGCTTTAAAGTTTTTGACAAACTTTTGTTAGTAAGAAGTGTTGACTTCGTCAAAATACCCACATTTACCTTAGGTATTGCCAGTGTTAATTTTTCGGTTAAAATTTACTTTTCTGTACAAGTTTGCGCAATACGTACTTACAAAATGTCAATTTTTTCTGTGCGGCATTCGCACCTCTCTGTTCGAAAGAAAATGTTGTTTCTGTGTGCTGCGCACAGTCCGCCTATGTGAGCCGGGAAATTTGAATTTGACCACCTGACCTCACATGACGCAGCTGCGACATATGAGTCCCAAGCTTCCAGCTCACACTATCGCTATGTAGGCATTATTATATATATATATATATACGTATATGTATGTATGTATGTGTATATATATATAAATTAACTACATTAAAAGCAAACGAAAACTGGTAAACTCACGCTAAAAACAATTGCGCTGGTAACTTATTTATGTGTTTTAGAGTAGAGTACTTTTTAAGAACACAACATTACGCAAATAACCAATCGTCGCAACCCTAGCGTCACCAGTCTAAAAAAAATTTCGCTACCAGCGTTAGGGTATTTTTATGTTACACCTGATCTTGAATTTCAATTTGGCCAGATGGCGATAACGAAAATTTTTAGGATGGTGACGCCAGGGATCAAACATTGTTTTTAGCTTCAAAGAAATGTTAAAAGGTTAACTTCAAAATAATCTAATTTAGGAAGGGCTAGCTTAATAACGACTTTTGGAAATAGGTAAAAGAAAAAAAAAAGGTTTACAGTCACCAAAGTAAAAACGAGTTCTAATAGAAATAACTATTTTTTTGAGATTAAGATTTTTGGTTGGGTCTTAAGACGAGACATATTGATTAGTAAGGAAGTTCGGATTCAGTGTTTAAGATAGTGTTTAGATTTGTTGACCAAAATAAGGGTATGAGTTTGGAGATAGTAAAATATATGAAGTGTTTAAGTTTGTTGGAGCAGCTATCACTTTATTATGTTCCCTATACATATATGTCTATATATATACCTTACAGACATATACTTACTGATTCATGTAACCTCTTTCTGTAAGATCTCTGTTTTTTTCGTTTCTTGTAATTTTCTAGTGACATAGTGATATAGTGATATCGTAAAGCAATTTTTTGTAATTTGAATGGTTAATAATCACGGGTAATTAATACGAAAATTAACCAATCAGACAATCTTTTTCCTATGACGAACAACCGAATCCAGTATTTATCATTATCTGGCAGGTATCGGAACGGCTGCATTAATATTAACCGTTGCAAATAATTGTCGTCATCCTCTTCATATTTATAAAAATTGCATTCTTTCTATAAACACGAATCTTAATTTTTTTTCAAATTACATCCCTGCTTGAACACCACACCTCTTGTCGTGATTGTCGCATTTTGTAGTTGTCGACTTACACTCTGCATTAGCATTTGTATAAAATAAGGAAGCGACAAAGGTATGAACGTTCAGACTAAGGAAGCTTTCTACTTAGTTAATCAAACTTCATGTCACGCGTTTAGCTTGAATATATTATTGATCAAATTCTTGCGTTTCATTTTAAATTTTTTTATACGTTTTTTTTCCCATGGTACTGTTGTTAACACACTACTTCGTGCTAAATGAAAAAAAAAAAAATGTAACAGTAATTACAATTCTTTGAATAAGTTCTACTGACGATGTCAGGACTTGGGGCTGGAAACGGTAATGAAAAACGCGCTGGCCACTGGGGACCACGTCAGCCCCCAAATCTTGATCCTAATCATGAGTGGGCTGCACTTCGCCGTCGTTATGAATGGAATGACTCTTATGATGAAGGTGTTGCACCAAGAGATGAACAGTTGGAAGCAGAACTTTTCGGAGAAGACAACCACGTACATACTGGTATTAACTTCGCGAAATATGATAGCATAAAAGTGTCCGTTAAGGGCAAAAATATAAATCCCATATCCACGGTAGGATTTTGTTTGTGATTAAACAAGACAATACTTGAAACACAATTTGTAATATTAGTAAATTTCTTGCTGTAATTTGTAGTTTGAAGAAGCCAATCTTCATCCAGCTATGAAAGAGAACGTCCGATTGGCACGATATCAAGTTCCTACACCAGTCCAGGTATTGTAGCTGGATCAGACATTCTTTATTTATCAATGTTATAGATGCTGCAATATATTTCCAAATCATACATATATTTAATGATAAACATCAGTGATTTTTATAGTATTATAATGCGAATTCAACTAATGCAGCCTTTATTCGTGTTATTGTTATTCTATTGTTTTTCAGAAATATTCTATTCCAATTATTACTGAGGAAAATGATTTGATGGCCTGCGCACAAACTGGTAATGTTTTTTTTTTTTTTTTTTTTTTTTAATGTTTGTGTTTATTGTGTTTATTATTTACTTTAACTTCTTAATAGGATCGGGTAAGACAGCAGCTTTCCTTATTCCAATATTATCCAAGCTGTTTGGAAAAGCGAAAAAGCTTGCGGCACCCCGACCGCCACCTGGCACACGTAGGTTTAAAGCCGAACCATTGGTCCTAATCCTTGCACCTACACGTGAGTTGGCTACTCAGATTTTTGATGAATGCCGTCGATTTACCTATAGGAGTATGATGAGGCCATGGTGTGTTCAGTTTGATATTTATGGTAATGAAGATTTTTTTATATAATTATTAACCGTACATAATAAATTGTCATATTATAGCGTGGTCTATGGAGGTGCAGAAACTGCTCCGCAAAAGAATGAATTAGCAAAAGGTTGTGACGTGTTGACAGCTACGCCAGGTCGTTTGGCTGATTTCTTGGAGAGAGGCCTCATTAGTCTCCGCAGAGTCAAGTAAGTTTACCACTAATTAAATATTATATTGTTTATTTAATATTAGGCTTTTAAATCCTTGTATTATAGATTTTTAGTTCTTGATGAAGCTGATCGAATGTTAGATATGGGATTCGAAAAAAAAATTAGGGAAATTGTTCAGAAATCAGGTAAAACAGATTCTAAATATATTTGCCTAAATGTTTTAATTAATAAATTTCTCCGAAATAGATATATTGGATGATGGCACACGGCAAACACTGATGTTTTCGGCCACATTTCCCAAGTCCATCCGAAATCTTGCTCGAGATTTTCTAGCGAACCAGTATGTATTTCTTACCGTCGGCCGTGTTGGTGGAACCACGAGTGACATAACTCAAAAGGTATATGAGAAAAATTATGATTAATATTCATAGCCTTATGTTTGCGAGTCTGGTATTAATTAACGAATTGCAAAAAAGATTATGTATGTAGAGGATCATAAAAAACGGGATTCACTTGTCGCTCTTTTGTTGAAACAACCTCCTTCACGCACCTTGGTTTTCGTAAAATCTAAACGTGGCGCAGATTCGCTTGATGATTTCTTGTATTCACAGAATTTTCCAACCACAAGTATTCACGGCGATCGTACACAACAAGAACGTGAAGATGCGTTAATATCTTTTAAGTAAGTACATTTCAATTGTTTCAGAGTATGCTACACACCAGTTTATAATGAAACTATACATATAGGAACGGTCGATGTCCTATTTTAATTGCTACAGCTGTTGCTGCTCGTGGGCTTGATATCAAAAATGTAATGCATGTTATTAATTATGATCTTTGTGATGATATCGACGAATATGTTCATCGTATTGGAAGGTAAATGGTATTCTTAATCTTTTTATTCTGTTCTTTTAACTGTGCAAAAACTTAAAACGTTATTATTATTTAACAGAACTGCACGTGTTGGAAATCAAGGGTTGGCTACTACTTTTTACAATGATGGAGACTCAGCTATTGCTGGAGACTTAGTAAGAATTTTGGTGGAATGTAAGCAAGAAGTTCCCGATTTCTTAAAAGAACATGCAGGCAATGTGGAGCTGTAAGCAATTAATATTTATTTATTTATTCGTATGTCTATTTTATAAGTTATAATTGTTAAATCCTAACTTAATTTATGTGAAGTCGATTTGATGATGATGAGGAAGATGACGAACCAGGCAATAATAAGGGTACGAAACAATGGGATAATAACGACCAAAGGCAGTGGAATAACAATAGCCAGAGGCCTTGGGACAATAATAACCAACAATCTTGGGGAAACCAACAGCAAGATTCGACCTGGGGAGATAATCAAAACCAGCTTTTAAAACCGCAGTCTCAAACAACCTCATCAACGGTATTTTATGTTAACGTAAATCTATATAATTGCCTGCTTTAAGAAATATCAAACCCACCACTTAATATGCTATCGTTCTAATTGTGCAGGTTGCTAGTAACGATAACTGGTCAAATCCGCCCACCGCTCAGCCTACATATCAGTATCCATCTATGCCTCATACACAATCTAATCAATCTCAATATGCAACATCTACATATAATCAGCCAATTCCTTCACAACCTCCGTATGTCGGAGCTCAACCTGTAGTTAATCTTCCAAAGAATAGTCAATTCAATCAACCCACACAACCATCATTTGCACATCCCTCACAGCAGCAAAACTTTGGTGCTAACTATAATAATCCTGCGTCTAACGGACCTGAACAAAATGATTACTATAATAATAATAATACTTCATTCGGTAACGATACAAACAGATTTGGTGATCCTAACAATAATAATAATAATGATGATGGTTCACCATCTCGTCCTCGTTCAAAATCTCCAAAACAGCAAAGAAATCAACGACGGACCCGCAATAATGGTAATTGGCAACAGGATGATAGCATTGGAAATCGTAATGCAAATCAAACTGGTTCAGATGGTTGGGGAAATACTGATACTCGGGATGCACCAAAAAAAGAGTGGGATCCAAATAATCCTCCTTGGGTCAAATAAGGTTGCTATTTTTGAATTATGATATTACCACATGGTTTGGGTTTGGAAATCGGGATTTCTACTTGATAATAATCAAAATATATATGTTCATTCTCAGTCAATAGTGTAAAATTCAAAAACCAATAAAATTTGTTAAATCAATGCTATAAATTATTAAAACTGTTATTTTTATTTTCAAATTAAGAATTTTAGCGACTAAGCAGGATATATTAAATAGATATGTTGCAAGTGTTCTAATAATTATGTCGAATATGTGCTGCCAAGTGAAAAACATTTTTAAGGATCTTGTAATTATCGCCCTTGGCCTCACCATTAATATTAAAAAAAAAAAAAATAAATGTAATTATATAATAATTATATAAGAGATGACTATATAGAAGGATGACTATTTATACTTTTTATTTTTTTATTTTTTTTTATTTTTTTCACTTAGACAAGATCGTGCCAGTGATACTGTTTATTAAAGTCATCATCTCATGGAAAATGCAAAACAATAAAACTTAAGTCCTGACATCCTACAGCTACTATGCCTTTAAGCACCCATAGGTGACCTGCCGCACCAGCGAGATATAAAATATATTCTAACCGAAAGGCTTGTCTGACCACCGCCTTACAATAGGATATCGCCAATCTGATGACATCTTCTCGTAGGAAAGTGAAAGAAAAAGAAAAAATTTTTAAGAAACACAGAGGTATAGTAGAATACAGTAAAAAAATACAAACAAAAAAAGAATGGGGTAAGAGAAAAATGAAGAAAAACTAAACTAAATACAGAATTTTACACTTGCACTAGATGGTTACAATTATAAGTCTGTGTCGGGCTCTATAAAAATTACATACTACTATCTAAACTAGTCTCTACTCTAATCTACATACATAGTATATTAAGATAAGAAAAAAAACTCTACGACAAGATAAAAAAAAATATAGCTTCTTTGATGTCAGCACTATAGAGAGGTCAGAAAGGTCAGAAAGGTCAGAAATTTGCACTGAAGGTCTCGAGTCATTGTTTGTCCAGGTTGTTACATTCGAAACACGTAATCTATATGTCCAGTTCCATAAGATCCACGTGTTTGTTGTGATGGGTAAAAACGTAAACAATGCGACCAATTTGATAAGTAAACAATATGTCGATCTTTTGAAGAAGATAAGCTAAATCACTCACTTTTTTACAAAATTTTCTCTGAAAAAAAAAGTGGAGAGACAATGAGAATATGTGAGGTTCTTCTGTAAGTTTTACAGTTGTATAGGCAATTCTTCAAGCTTCCACTATCTCAGCAAGAGTCTTTGACTACTACTTGTTCTCAAAATAGACCTTCTGGTTTGGATGCCAAATAACTTAGAGAGTCTGTTCGATAAATTAGCAAAAAAAACTTGACCTCAAGAAAAACCATCCAAGTTATGCCTGCTTCTTGGTGTATCACGTCTCTTGAACTTCGTTAACAACAACCTGTACAAAGGTAAAAACAGTTTCCAGAATACCCTTCTAGTTTGGATACTGAATAACTTAGAGAGTTTACACAAAAAGGAAAAGGTTTGACCTCAAAAAAAACCATTCAAAAGATGTCTGCTTCTCGGTGTTTCATGTCTTCAGACTTCGTCGACAACTGCTTTACTCTAAGGTAGGACTGAGAAGTTTCTGTCTTGGATGTTCCTATATCGTTTTTCTGTAGTTCAGTTTTTTGTTGTTGTTGTTCAAAGGATCCAGAAAGAGTTTTTGATTTTTTTTGATTAGTGAAAATAAAATGTATTTATACTCTTTATTAAATAAAAGATATTTCAAAAAAGATATTGTTATTAAATAAACCTCTAGTAGTTTTAAGTAAAGTTGTTTTACTTTTTTGATTCTAATAATATACAAGAAAGATATATCTAATTTGATGCAATTTCTAATTTGATATATAATATCTTAAGAAGTATTAATTAGAATCATAATTTTAATATTATTTGATTCATTTTATTAAAATGAATTGAAATACTGTATATTAAAATTATACAATTCTGATCAATATTTCTTGAAATACTTTATTTAACCAAAATAGTTTAAAGTAAATATAATTAATTTAATACAGTTAAATATTTATAATAAATATCAATGGGGTGTAGTAACTTAGCAAAGTTGATAAGTTGTTGTACTCCAAGTAATAGGACAAAAGTTCAAATTCCATTGGCAATAAAATTCGAATTTTCAGAATGTATTAAGAAAACTGTATCCTATTGGGCTTTAGAATCTGTAATGAAGTTGCACTAGCTTGTACTGAGAGGTAATAAAATATTTAATATGCTGTATGAGTTATACAAAATCTGAGTGAAACTACTAACTAAAACTAGCAAATTAATAGAATACAAAAGCTTATTTGGCAAGTCTTAAATAGAAAGATAATACAGATCTTCAATGGTATTACATAAAGGAGAATACTGAAAAACCAGATAGGACTGAGATATTTAACAAAGCATTATATCAACTAGGCTGACAGACAACTGAAGAAAAGAGTCTGCCTTTTCAGACCATCTGGATTAGAAGTTTAAGAAATCAGAAATATAGTTGAAAATAGGGTTCCACAATTTGATTTGATTCGATTTAATTTGATCAAATATTCAAATCAAATTAAATTTAGCAAAATTATATTTGGAAAACTCTTTCCGGTTCACCTCCAGAAATTTTGATAAAACAAAATTTCTATGCAAAAAAACTTCATTTTTTCTCAAAACCAAACAAGGCCAAGGCCCTGACTCCCAGGAAACGCAAACAACAGTTTTTAAATATGAGCAAATTGCAATATAAGAAAGCTAGGCTAGACAACAGCAATATTAAAGTTTTCAATCTTCTTGAAACAGAAGAGAGCAATATTAAGAAGAGCGAAAATTTAGAGCAAAATACTGAACCTCAACTAAATGAGGCTTCAAATACTACAAATAATTACAACAACACTGCTTCAACATCAACTAGTAAAGACTGGGCTAGTTTAACTGAAAAAGAGGAACTTGTGTCGAAAGAAACTTCAGCAGAAGATTCTTCTAAGAACCAAGAATCATATACAAAAAATATAAACACAACAAATCACGTGTAAAATGTAAACAACAACAACACGTGTTAAACAAGAAAGAGCAACAAGTAAATAGTCAACAAGACGCGATACACATGTTAAGCAACAACCAATCAGAAGTATCAATCCACAAGGACTCAAACATCCCTACATATAACAACACTAAAGAGACTCAACACTCAGAACCAAAGCTAAAACAGTGGTCCAATCTCTTTGCTAAGCTTAAAGGAGGAAAAGCAGCTTATACAAGGCCCACTCCTAGGCAACAAATACACTCCAAGAATGAAAATGCACTCATTTTTGATATAAAAAACCTAAGCAACATTGCAACAAATGATATAATTGCAGCACTAGCTGCTTCATTAGGTGGTAATTTAATTGCTGCGAAAACACATATATCAAGAGGAAAAAGAGTCTTCTTAGAGATTATTTTGAAAGATAAACAGAAAGTTCAATACTATGCAGCCGAAAGAATCTTTTTGTTTAAACAAACCTTCTTTGGTTACATTCCTATCAATCTAAACCGTTCTTTTCTTATTATTAAGCTCAAAAACACTCCAATGAGAGATACCAAGCAAATTAGTGATAATATTTTACAAGCATTTCGCGATATAGGACAAATTGCCTCAATCAAACCTCTTCTTTTCGAAGGTACCTTGATCTGTACTGACCAATGGCTAATCATCTTTGAAACTACTAAAGATCCAGATCTAGCTTCACGAATTCCAAGAAGCACTCATATTGGCAATCATAGAATTTTACAGAATGGAAAGGAGCACCTAAAGTTTGCTTCTATTGCGACAAAGAAGGCCATATCAAAAGTGACTGCGAGGAGTTGAAGGTTTCAATAGAAACAAGAAGACTCTTAAGAGAGGCAAAAAAGCAAAGAGAAAAAGCTAAAACTTTGCTTCACAACCCTTAAGAAGTTTCTTTCAGTCAAGACAACCCATATATTAAACAAGAAAATACAGATGTCGAACCAACTACAGAATTATCTGAAATATCCTTGAATAATCAGTCACTAGAAAACACAATAGAGACAGATCTTTATGACTCTACAAGCTCTCCAGATATATCAGAAGAAACAGCATCTGCAGCTTTCATTAACTCTACTGACAATTCTGCACAGATAGAAATAGAATCTCAGGATGATCTTGTAGCTCTTGATCCTTCTACTACAACTGATGATAACGCACCTTTTATCACAGTGGTATCTAGAAAACAAAGAGCAAAAGGCAAAAAGAAAACTTACGTTAGACCAGAAGGCCTATATGGAAAAGCAGGTAGCTCTTATCAGAGCCACCCTACATATAAGAACCAACACTAAAGAGATCCACCTTTAGTATAGCCTCTCTATATTTAACTTCAATGATTAAAATTGCTATACTTAATGTTAAGGGTCTGAATAACAGATCTAAGGCACAAAAAATATTTATACTTTTAAAATCTTATAAACTAGACATAATATTAATTCAAGAAACAAATCTGAAAGATTCAAATACAAGAAAATTCCTTTCTCAGCAATAGGTTTTGACTTGATCTGGTCTTCTAAAGTAGCAATTCTTGCAGGAAAAAGAAATATCAAATTCACCAATATTAAAATCTCGCACAATGACTAAGTAATTTCAATCAAAACTACTATTAAACAACAACCTTTTCTTATTACAAATGTTTATGCACCACCAAATGCTGATGAAAGATATAACTTCTTCAAAAACTGGACACCAAACTTAGATATCAACTGCATCTGTATTGTGGCAGGAGACTTCAATACAAATTTAAGACCAGAGAAAGACAGAATTAGTCAAGCTACTTCTCAAAACGATCGCTCTAAAGACCTTCTAATAGATCTGATTGCTGACTATACTGATACAGCACTATTCTCTAAAGAGGATCCTTTTCTTACTTTTTACCAATCAACATCAGGCAACTGAAGAATGGCAACTAGACTTG